ATAGATAGATAGATAGATAGATAGATAGATAGATAGATAGATAGATACAACAGATCTAATATGCATCATCACAGTTGTGATTATGTAGGTAATTAATTTGATATAATAGACCTAAAATATTACAATATTGTTCAATTTTGTCCTGTTCTTGACCTCCTTGGGCCTAATGACTTGTCTCCTAATCACAGGTAGAACTAGAGAGAAAGGCAGGATGGACTCTGTCTCCATGATGGGCTCCAGGAGGAGTCCCCTGTTCCTCACGCCGTCCTCCCTGCACCACTTCCACCCCCCCCCCCCAGAGCTGCGTGCTGCTGAGCGGCGTGAGAAGCAGGGCCCCGGACCCGGGGCCCCCCCGCCCGCCGCCCGCCCCCCCCGCCGTGGCCGTCCTGGGCTCGGGCGACTTCTCCCGGTGCCTGAGCGTGCGGCTGCTGCGCTGCGGCTTCAGCGTGGTGGTGGGCAGCCGCCAGCCCAAAATGGCCGCCCATGCCTTCCCCCACGTGGTGGATGTGACCCACTATGAGGATGCCGTGGGAAAAGCGGGAATAGTGTTCTTGGCCATCCGACGGGAGCACTACTCTGCTTTGTGGGACCTCAAGCATTTAATGGAAGGTACATAAAACAGTTTTCTTTTACTAAAGGGACAGAAAAGCACCTTTAGGGCTGTTTAAAAGCCGTTTAACACCTGGTGAGATCTTTTAAGTGTGGTTGAAAGTGGATGAATCAATGATCATCCGGTTAGTAACTGAGGCCCTCGGTTTTCCCGGGGTCACCTGACCTATGATCTATGACAAGCTGTGTGGTTCCTCTGGTCATAAACACATATTAAAACAGAGCAATTATTGGGGCAATTATTGAGGAACAGCTATTTCTGTATTTAAAAAACCAAACCAATAAACCCGAGTCTCATACATTACTGTAAGTGACTTACTGTCGTCCCATTCAGTTTTTACTGTATGGTCCCAATTTAAATGTGTTCAATTCACATTATTATAAAAACAAAATTTAGATAACAGCCCCGCAGTTGAATTTAGAACAAATAATTTAGTAGTTTAACAGATGGGCAGAAACAACACTTTAGTTATTCCCAAAGAGGAATTATGTAGTTTCAGTGTAGATGCTGATATTCTTCAATAAGAAGTTATGATACTTTTAAGGCTATAGCATCTAGCGGGAACTGAAGAAGCCTCCAGAAAATTACTTTTAGGGATTTATTTGTTATACATTGTGTATAAAAAGTTGTACACCCTGTGGTAGTGTTCCTCACAGAGCCAGATAGTTCTTTTAAATCAGTTTCTATGGATTATTTGTGTTACTGGCTCCAATGCTGCAGCATCAGAAACTACATTTACAATTAACCCGGATAAGTTAAAAAAAAAGGCTTTGCTTTGTTCCACAGGGAAAGTGGTGGTGGATGTAAGCAACAACAGGAGGGTGAATCAGTATCCGGAGTCTAACGCCGAGTATCTGGCCTCTCTGCTGCCAGAAGCCTTCGTGGTCAAAGGCTTCAACGTGATCTCAGCCTGGGCCATGCAGCAGAGCTACCGCCTCGATGCCAGCACACAGGTAACGCAGGACGCCTTCTGGGCTTAAAGAAAAGGTTAAATGAAGAAGGTTTTAATGTGTCTGGGTCAAAATGACCCAGACACCCCACTACACACCAAGTGACCAGATTTCACACACACGTTCATGAGCCCAGATGAGGAAAAGTCACCAAATTTCATGAAGAAAAAAAAAGGATAACCGGCGCTTTAATCGACACAAAAACTGAAACGGTTCAAATAAATAATAATAAAACGGTTAAAGATTTTCTTACCAGGTAAATTACACTTTAAAAAAAGCCATATATAGACGGAATGGCAGATAATTAAAGAAAACTGTGTAAAAAAAAGAGGAAATCATTAAAAATAAGTGAAGTGCCTCAGTTAGTCATCCCTCCTTCACTTTCATCTCTCCCCAAATCACTAAATTAGTATATTTGATTGGCTTTTGTTTAATTTAACCTCCTAAGACCGAAGCTTTTATTTTGTGTGCATTTTTGCTTTGTTCCAGATCTCCGGATCTGTAGGAGCTAAAAAGTTTAATAACTACACTAGTTTTTCTTCATATAGGCTCAGTGGGTTTATCTTTATATTCAAAATATTTGGTTGTATATTTTATTAAATGTTTTTGCAGTTTGATTCTGATGATCAAATTGACTTAATTACAACATTTGAATTACAAAAAAAGAACATGATTGGCTGAAAACGTCTAAAAGCATTTTATTTTAGATTTCAGTATTCAGTATTGTGTGATAGCGTCTGCTATGAGGACAAGAGGTCAAAGGTCAAAGAAGGATCCCAGTACAGAGAGGCAGAAATGCAGCGTCCTCATATGAAAACAGGCTCTCAGGAGGTTCAAAGATTTGATTTTTTTCAAATGGTTTGTTACATTTCACACTGATTTATGCCCGCTGGCTGCAAATTAAAAAACACAATTATATATAACAGGAATTTGCCTTTTTTTTATCTCTGTTGCAATATTTAAAGTGCTGCATTCAACTGTAGCTTTGTTTGATTTGATGAATGAGAACCATTTTAGCAATGTGAATATTAGCATAGGACTCCTTATTCTTATTCTCCTTTCTCCAAAAATGTTGAATAGAAAAAGGAATATTTCTTCCCAAACTGCTCCCTCCATGCTAGTGACCCCCCCCTGTCCCCGGCGTTCTTCTGTGTGGTTTCCGTAGGTGTTCATATGCAGCGACTCGGTGGAGGCCCGGCTGCAGATTATGGAATTAGCCCGCCAGCTCCACTTCCAGCCCGTGGACATGGGCGCCTTGTCTTCTTCCCGTGAGATCGAGAACATCCCCATCCAGTTATTTCCGGGTTGGAAGGGCCCCGTCCTCGCTGCCGTGGCCCTGTCCATCTTCTTCTTTGCTTACTCTTTTATAAGGGATATCATCCACCCCTATGTCAGATACAAGCAAAGTGACTTCTACAAGATCCCCATAGAGATAGTCAACCGGACGCTGCCCACTGTGGCCATCACCCTCCTGGCCCTGGTGTACCTGGCCGGTCAGTTGGCGGCCGCCCACCAGCTCTACTACGGAACCAAATACAAACATTTCCCGCACTGGCTGGAAGGCTGGCTCCAGAGCAGAAAACAGCTCGGCCTAATCAGCTTTTTCCTGGCCGCCGTCCACGTTCTCTACAGCCTCTGTCTCCCCCTCAGGAGGTCAGAACGGTACCTGCTGCTCAACACCGCCTACCAGCAGGTCAGTGGGACTACGGTGACACATTTTAGAATAAATGTCCATTCATTTTTTTTTTGTTCAAGACATTAAACAAATCAGGTTGTAACTTTAGTGCCACCTAGTGATAAACCTGGATCTGTTTTGGGAAGTTGGTCATTTTAAACCTTATTATAATGATTTTTTTGTTGTTGTTTTCTTTAAGCTTTTACTCCATTTTGTACTTTTTTTATATTTTATTATAATTGTTTTCCCCAAAAGAACGTCCTTCGATAAATTCACACATGAATAGCAATTATTGATTATCTTACTGGAAATAAAAGTTTATATCTCCTCAGGAAAATTGAATAGAATGAGATTAAATCCTCTACACTGTCACCACGGTGCTTCTAACAGAGTCTGACTTATGATTTCATTCCATGTAGCTTATTGTTGAAGCTAACTGTACTGTTTAATTTGCACTATAAGCTCCTGCTAGATGCATAAACCTAAATGAAATAAAAACTCTGAACCTGAACTTGAAACAGTTTAGAACAACAAATGCTACCAGCTGCTTTACAGGCTAGACACATAACTGTATTTCATACAAATTTTATAGGATTTTCTCAGGCTAATGACAGCAGATAATTACTTAAGAACCTGTATCCTAAGCAGAAAAGAATGTGGAATCAAATAAACGACACTGAAACCTACGTAGACAATAAAACCCCAAAATATGTAGAATAGTCCAAGTTTGATGCTGAAAAATGTTCAAAATAACTTTTGACAGTAACCATTGTAAACTAGTGTCAACCACTATTCTAACACTAACTTCAACCCTGTACATCACTAAGTCCTTAGAGAAGATTTTAATGAGGAAATTCACTTTAGAAGCCAATACTAAGAATTGAAAAATGAAAAAAACCCATAAACTTACATCCTATTACAGCTACAGTACTTCTTTACAGTAGTTGTAGTAATTGACAGAAACCAGTCCAAACTATATTTAATGAATGATAGTGATAAATAGAATAATAATTGTAGATATGTTGGCTAAAGCGTTTGATATTGGTATATCCTGTTAGCCAGACACGACAATTTCTTCTCATTTTTTGTTGCTTCCCTTCCATTTTAGATTTTGCTGTGATTGCTTTAATATCCTTATTTTCTCATTTTACCTAGCTGTCATTATTAAACTAGATTTAGTCTGTTTAGTTGAGGATTGTTGGGTACTGAGGGCTTTACATCCTGTGAATTTGAAGCCATAAATCTCTTTGAATCCATAAATCTCTTGGTATGGAAGTGGAGATATGCTGTGGTCAGTTCACCAAATCAATGGATGCAGCTCCTCATTTTCAGACAGCATGTGTTGGTTAATTTGGCTTCTAAGTGTTGTCAACTCTGTCCATTTGATATGTCGGCAGATCCATGCCAATGTGGAGAATGTGTGGAATGAAGAAGAAGTGTGGAGGGTGGAGATGTACGTTTCCTTTGGGGTGATGAGCTTTGGGCTCCTGTCTCTGCTGGCCATCACCTCCATTCCTTCCATCAACAGCTCACTCAACTGGAGGGAATTCAGCTTTATACAGGTAAAACACGCCAGGAGACAGTGAGAAATCCGACATCCAAATGCAATTAAATCACAAGAAAACAACAGCTACAGTCTGGTTGTGGCTATTTGAGGTTTTGTTTTAAGTCTATTTGACTATTATTTACATTGAAACACGCAAGATTGACACAAACTTGAAAATCTAGGACTTTTTTACTACACATAGCTGAACATTCCTCCTTATAATTGCATCCTCATCAAAGGTTAAACACAGTTTTATTTAAATCGTAGATGTTCGACCTGTGCTGCATTGGCAGCTTGTTGATTTTTTTAGCTTTGCCATTCCAGTGTGTACAAATTTATTCAGTGTTCTAGTTGCTAACTCCTAAAAACCCACATTATGTGAGGCAATTGCTCTTGAGTAGCACTATCAGCTTTTGTTCGAAGTAATACAAAAACTGTTTGTTAATCAAAATGTTTAAATTACTTTTTTTCATATAAAAAAACACTTATTCTTGTTTTGTACTTGTGAAAGTATTTGTCAAAAGACGCTAAAAGACTTAATATATAAACAAGTCAAATGTAAATGTATCTGTGGATCCTAATGGATGATTGTCTCTTGGCAAAATGCTATGCATCTAGCATATCAAATGATATAGAGCATAGGGGTTGAAATAATACGCACAACAAATGTTAAGATTGATCAAAATTCTGCATCCAAATAGTAGCTGAGGTCTAACTATATAGAACACAAAGCCCTTTTGGTAGAGGAACTGTGTCAGAAAACACACCTGATGAGAGCAGAAACATTTATTGTGCCACTGCATCATCCCAAAGGTGGTTTTCAACTCTTGCTAGCAGAGTTAGAGTTTGTTTGACATGCAGTTCTGCTGAAAATGGACGAGATTTCGAGCCAGGCAAACCATGTGTCCGATCGTTGGGCCGGTTCTGGCACAGTTGTCCAAAAATTAAAGTACACCTTTCAGTTTCAAGATGTTGCAAATCAGGATGTGACAATATTTCCAATTATAATTATGTTTACCAGCTCCCTCAATTAGGTCAAAACAACCTCAGATTAACTGCAGGATACAAATTACCACCTCACTATCTTCTATAATGAACGCAACCAAAAGTTAAACTTCAATATGTAACCATGGTTACACATGCAAAATGGTTCATTTCGCTTGTTCAGGGGTGATCTTGCATGTTAAACCACCCTTGTCTTCACAGTCCACCCTGGGTTACGTGGCCCTCCTCATAGCCACCCTCCACGGCCTGCTGTTTGGCTGGAAGCGGGCCCTGGAGGAGGAGGCCTACCGGTTCTACCTGCCCCCCAGCTTCGTGGTGTCCCTGGCCCTGCCGGTGGTGGTGATCCTGGGGAAGGGGCTGATGCTGCTCCCCTGTTTGGCCTGCAAGCTCCACCAGATCCGCAAGGGGCTGGACAGCAGCCGGCACCAGTGCCAGCGCCTGGAGCCGGTGGGGTCAGCGGCCAATATCTCCCCCGAAAGAGTCACCATCATGTGATCGTTGGTTTCACAAAATCAAATTAGCACTGTTCATGTTTGCCCCTGTCGTCTCTGCTGTGAACGGTTTTTGCTGTGCTCGTGTGGCTGTTACTATTCACTGTATCTCCTCGTAAAATGTCACGTTTTAATGTTCCGCCCCTTAAAAACAGTGACACCGTTGTCCGATTGATTTCATTTGAGTTAACAAGAACTCTGCTGCTGTGTGTCTGTTCATGAGTTGTGGGGGAAAGAAAATAAGTTAACCTGAAGTGGTTGTGTTTTTGTGAGAAAAAAAAAAGGTTTCATGTTCTATTGCCAAAGAATCCTTTGTTGGAAATGTGAATAAAATGTTTTAATGAAGATATAGTCATGTTGATGGTGGAACTCAATTGCACAACACTGCTTTAAATATTTTATAGATATTTTCTTACCTTTAGAGAGCAAATATCAACTGTGCAACACAGAATTAGTTTTTCAGATATCTAAATTTCCCTATATATGTATATATATACATATATATGCACACATGTGTATATCCATACATATAAAGACTGTCTCTGCACCCATATTTTGTTAAAGATGGACTGCAATCCAAGTCCAAATCTAACTTTGGTCTGATTCTTGGAAGTCAGAGCCAACAAACACAACCATAGATCCAGATTTTCAGCCCAGCCCAGATCTTCCTTCCAGAAGCTCAAAGGCGAACTCATCAGCACATTTCACGACAAAAAACTGAGGCTGAACGCAATTTTAAAATAATTTTAATGAAAACCCACCATACTTAAACGTCAACACATTAAGAAGGAATCCCCTCCGACTAACAACACACAGAAACACAACATATAGCACTTATAGCTACAAACGCATGAGAGAAAAAAGGTTTTAGAATGTTGAAAAACGCAATTTTTTTTTGTAAGAATCTAAAGCCACATGTTTAATTAGAATATTGGTTTTTCAACATATGCAAACCGAGCACACATCCACACAGATTAAAGGGTTTTGGCACAGATGCGCCTAAAGCTAGTGGCCCCAATTCCATTTGGGAAAGCGACTACAGGCGAGCATCGAATAAAACTCCGGTAAAAGTTTAAGAAAAGCTTCTGTGGGACGTCAGATAAAACTCATAGCAGGGTGCGTAGCTGCTCCAACTGGATCAGCAGCTCCTGCGCGGAGGGTCTGCGGCCGGGCTCCGCGCTCCAGCAGCGGGCCAGCAGGGCCCCGGCCCCCCGGCCCAGCTCCGTGCGGAACACGGGGGGCTGCTCCAGGGAGGGCCGCAGGCTGTGCGCCACCACCGCGTACAGGATGTGCTGCCTGTCCCCCGAGTAGGGCGCGTCCCTGGTCAGCAGCTGCCACAGCGTGATCCCGAAGGAGAAGATGTCCACTTTGCCGGACACGCCCTCGCCCTTGAGCAGCTCCGGGGCGCGGTGCGTGTAGGTGCCGCACACGTGGCTCAGGTGGGGGCTGATGGCGCACGCCTCAGAGTCCCGGTCCAGCTTCAGGGAGCAGCCGAAGTCCGCGATCTTGCACACGTCTTGGCTGGACACCAGCACGTTGGCCGGCTTTATGTCCAGGTGCACGACGTCGTGGGAGTGGAGATACTTCAGGCCGCTGGCGATGTCCGTGGAGAAGTCCAGGCACCTCTCGTGCCCCAGCGGCTCGGGGCTTCCGTAAATGATCTGCTGCAGGTTCTTGTCGCCCACAAACTCCATCAAGATGGTCCCTATGCCGTTCTCCTCCTCGTACTCCTTGGGGACGCAGGTGGTGGCCGCGATGACGCGCACGATGTTCTTGTGCCGGAGGTGCGCCGCGTTCAGCTCGGCCCAGAAGCTCTGGCGCGAGGCCAGCTGGTTCTTGGTGCTCTTCTTCACCTTCTTCAGCGCCACGGTCTCCCCGAGGTACTCCGCCTTGTACACGGAGCCGAACCCCCCGGAGCCCACGGGGCGCGTGGCGCGCAGATGCTTCCAGTGGATCACGGACGACCACACCCGGCTGGCCACCTTCCCGTGCAGCCGCTGGACGGGCACCTGCAGGCTGGGGCCGTGCGCGCTCTGGGCCAGCGGGCTGCTGCACGTGCCGATGTCCAGGGAGGGGTAGAGGTCCTTGGGCATGAGCCGGGTGACGGGGATGGGAGAAGGCATGGCGCGGTGGTGGGGGAGGGAGACTCTGATGGGCTTTCAGCTACAGGTGCGTTAGACTATTGGGACGCAATCTGTACGTGGCGCGTCATGGTCTGAGAAGCAATGCATGCCGGTAAAATAGAGAAACAAGGCCCACCTATTGTCTTGTTTAAAAATAAGAAGCGAGAACTAAACACGGAGAGGATGTTTTCAAGGCACCAGTTCATCACATGGCCACATAAAAACAAACACCCGCTCGCATTCATGCCTAGGGACGATTTCCAGTTTGAAATCAGCCTAATGTGCACGTTTGTGGACGTTGGGATAAAGCTGGACTAAGCACCTGAGCAGAAAGACTCCTGCTCTGTTTCAGATATTCTCCTGAGACCCAAAGAAAAAAAGTGTCTTCAAATTTCTTTTTTTGTTGTGATTTTCCATGTATTTGGACCTCAAAAAGAACATTACAATTTCATTTAAAAAAAAAATATTTTAATTTTAATTTCATAGCATGTCCACTGAGTAGGACAACACGACAATTTGCATGGGGAAATAGAACAGGCTTTAGATAATTAAATAATAAAAAAGAAGATGTCTTGAAAGGGATATTTACCTAAGAACTCTTAGGAAAAAAGTAAAGTTCCCAGCATGCAAACCTATCACATGGCACATCACTGGAAAGCCCAGGATGTCCTCTACAGAACACTATAGGGCTTGATAGGGTAACTCCAGATACTTAGGGGGGGTACAGGTGGACAAAATGTCCACTATAATGGACATAAATGAATGGGCCGGGTCTCAGGAGGATATGATCATTTGTCCTATAGATCATTTAGAGCAGCACTGAAGATTGAAACTATCTTGTTCCATTCTGGTCTCCCTGTTGTTGTGGGATGATTTTCTTGACTGTTTTAAAACCCCAGACTGGCTCTGCACAGCGTTTTCTGAACTGCTTGAAAGGTTTGCCATGCAAGTTGCTTTTGATATTTGTCAATTTGCTTTTCTTTCTTTTTTTTGTTCCTGCCATTAGTGGCTGTTTGCTTTGTTCCCCCATGAGAATTCCCCCATGCTTCAAAAACAGGTACCACCCATCACACAAGTCTTATTAAAAACAAAATTTCATTGGGATGTCGTGAAGAAGATTCCCATCTTGGTGAAACACTCGATAGAAATGCATGTTAGGACATTCCACAACTTTCAAAAACAAGATCAGACCAACTTTAAAGGAGTTCCAAAATTGCTTTGAGTTCTTCTGTTAGCTAAAAGCAATGTTACCACATTTATATAAAAAAATATGCATTTCCTATGTGTAAATTGCTTATTTGAAGACTTTAAGAGCATCATACATGTTGCAAGGAAGGAAATCTAACTTCCTATGGCATTGTTTGCATTTGCAGCAGAGAATTTCCCAAATGTCCACGGTCCCTGAATGCAGCATGCTGCTGTCCTCAGATCTGCTGCTTCACCAGCCACTCTCCCATAAAACGGCCAAAGCTTTAACGCTAACATACAGGCAGAAGACTGGTCAGAAGGAGGGTGGAAGAGCTGCGAACCGGCCTGTGTGTCTCACTTTCACACACACACACGCACACCGACACACACGCGCGCACACACAGAGCGTGTGAGACACTCTCAACATTGTGGAGTATGTAATGCTTTCTGTTTGGGTTCAATGGGTTCACACCGGTGGTTCAACTGAGTTTACTCCATTTGTAGAATGGGGAGGGCTGGCTAAAACAAGGCCCTTTTTTTTGCATTCTGAGCTTATAAAAGTGATATTTATGAACAGCTATTGTGAGTGTTCGTGAAGACTACCTTTTTAACAACTTTGCCTTTTTGAACAATGTACAGTTTTAGAGGTGGATACGGGCTAAACTGACCTGGTGTGTTCATTTTGAGGGTAGAAGAGGGCTTTTGTAACTCTAACCGGCCTGTATTTCTAATTTTAACTTGCATGTTTTAGCATGCAACAGTGTATTGCCACACATGAACAGGTTTGTCCCATCCCTGAAACCATACCATAGCAAAAAAACGTCCTTTAAACGTCACCTCTCTGTTTGAACTTGATTACGCTGTTCATCTTGTAAGATCCCTGGAAATTAGGCCGGTGTCTCCTTGGTAGCTGAGTCTGAGCAGTAATAGAAGTAAAAAATTGAAAATGATTCAACTGATACAGCACAACAACATGCAACGTTATCCATTTTAGAAACACCAAACAGACTTGGTAGGTGTATCTTTCTCTTGTATTTATTGAGTAAAAACACTTGAGTTGTTGATTACAACTCTTCTCTCATAGCAGCAAGGTATGTGTATTATAATCAGGTTATTCTGCCAAGCAATAAATAATCTGTCTCTTTGGATGATGACAATGTTTAAAAAACAACTGATAAAAGTGGCAGCATTAATATTTATTTTTACACAACCTATAGACATATACATATATATTTAGGTATATATGTTTATGTGATTTATGTTGCTTATATGTATAAAAAATACAACAGTAGTTTGTAAAACAGATCTGAAGTCAAACATTGAGATTTTGCACCGAGTCCATCATCGTCACAGGATGGCATTGCTGAAATGCAACAAGTAGCAAAACCCACGCGGCTGGAATGGAGTTCATCTCTGAACCTTCTCAGCTCGTTTTCATAAAAACACATGGAGTAAAGTTAGTCAGCATCGGCACTGATGTCCTTACATGTAGAAGTGTCCCGACACACACAGAGGTGTGTGTGTGTGTGCGGGACATGACATTACAGGCATATTCGTAAAATACTACCCAAAAAAAAAAAACAACAGAAAAAATCACAGTACAATAAAAAATATACGTAGCGATATAGAAGAACAAGGCACACACATGCCGGCTGTTCAACTAAACGGGATACTTGTACAAACAATACAATTAAGAACTAGAAAAGAGGTCTGTAGCACCTTAAGGAGCTTTAGACATATGTTAGCAGCTTGTTCCAATACCAAAATATATTGCTGTATTGCAGTGTTTCTTACATACACATTCAATAAAAGTTCACTGGTACCGCTGAAGCTTATGAAGAGTTTGACATAGATCAGAAAATCTCTGCCTCTCACTGAAGAACTTCTACTGTCTCCGGATCGCCAGACAAGTATGGGGGGAAAACATTTTTTTATAAACCGGTTCGACCCCAAAACAGGTTAGCTTTTGAGCTTTTGAACCTCCGATAGTTCAAACTGGATATACCAGCAATTATTGCTCTGAATATCCGACATCCTTTGATTGTATCCTATTAGCCCTATGATTTTTATACCTTGATGCCATCTGATAGCAAAATGTTTGTATTTTTCAGACCAAATTGATTAAAAATCAGGTAATACTACAGTATGTCATCATTTTACATTATGACCAAAACTTCCTGGAAGTTATTGAACAAACTACTTCATATCTTGTTTGTTTGTGACGGTCAAATCATTTTAAAAAAGATTCTATCATTAGGTGCCGTAGAACTCGCCATTTCAGCCGAACTATTGCTGTAGCTCTTGCCAGCAGATGAATAGTTAAAGATAATCCTATAAACTAGGACTACATACATCTGTGAATAAAGATGCCTCATCTGTTAAAAGAACCCTCAATGAGATACACAGAACCTTTGTGCAAGTAAAGCAAAATTGACAATTTGATAGGAAAAAAAAAAACACTGTCAAAATTGTACCTGTAAAAATAAAACACTTTATACTGTATTTACATATAACTGTTCTGTATGAGCTAAATATATAATCTATACATTTGTAATAACCATTTAAAACAAAAAGGTATGGGAGGAAATAAGGCATTGAATTTACAAAAAGTGCTGTGATAACAAAACAAAAAACAAAAGAACTTGCTAACATTTCTCATAAAACCATCTCAACCTTCACGAGATACAGATAGCACACTTTGATAAATGCTTTAAAACAAAACACATTAGAATCTACATTTCACACAGCCCAGGAAAAAAAAAAGAAGTCCATTCAAGTCCCATAATTCGGGGAATAAAACAAGGGCACTGCTTCTTCCAAATCAAATGTCTCTGGATATGGAGCTCAAAGGCAAAACGAGTGTGTGAGGTAAATGGTAATACTATCGGAAATATACACCCATCAAATATCTTGTGGAACGGCAGTGGACTAATTCCCCCTCTGGCGTGAAGTAACATTACAGATTCTTTATTTTTCTTGCTTTGATTCATTTTGTGTTCGGGTCTGATATTTCAAAATAAGAGCTCTGCAGATGAATTCTGTGATTGTTGAGGGGAACTATAATCACTAGCCCAAATGCACGTTTGGACTTGACCAAAAAAAATCCTTTATAAAGTATCACATGTTTGGTACAGATTGAATTAAAACAAGTAAAAAAAAAAAAAAAAAGGCCCCAAGTTTGAATAAAAAATAAAACCAGAACTCATTGAATGCTGAGCATGAAGGACCGTTATTCCCCTTAGAGCAGCAGTTTGACTAAAATCTGCATCCACAAAGTAGATCACAAACCCTCTTAGTCGTCATTTTGCTCACTTGTCCTCACCGTTACTTTATATTCCCAGAGCTGGGCTGAAACCAGAGCCTAACCTGTAACCTTTTGGGGCTCTCAGCAGCCGGAGCCCCGTCTCTGGGTCAGGAAAACTGGAGAGCAGACCCCGTTTGCAGCTGTGTTTTTTAAACGGTTTCGCGACAATATTGAGGCATCAAGTTCCACAAAACAATGGGAGGAAGTTGGAACGAGGTGGAAACAGTCCATCTACAATGACAAAACGACGACGGGACTCTGTGGGGGCTCTCGAGAAAAGCAGTTCTTAGACAATACTTGTCGGACAAAACCGGCCCTAAAATCAGGTCAGCACAAAGGGCGAGAAAGTACGAATTTGGTCACGATAAACTTGGATAGAATATCAGATCGTTGAAATGTCAATATATTTAAACTAACCCATTTTAATGGAGCAGTTTCATGTGTTTTTCCTCCCTTTCTTCAGAAACAATGCCGTTAGATTTTTCCTCCTTTTCCTCCATCTTTAAACGCAGTTTCATCTGCCATGGCTGTTCACTAAAACAACAAAAACATTTTCCCAAAATGTCCGTCACAGAGTAAATGTGCCCTACAGAATGCTGAGGTCAGAAACGAGGGTGAGACTAAACAATTTTATACGAGCAGCGACATCTCTGATGGCGGTATTCCGTGAGAGGGAAAACCGGAGAACACGGCACAGCAGAGGCTAATGGCGAGATACGGGGCCGCATCAGTGCTGAGTGTCCTTTACAATCCGTCCGTCTAAGACCGAACACCCCCCCGCGCTCCCTTTTTCAATGCAAACATGTAACGTCCTTAAAATGAAAACACATTTTCACACATTTGGAATCATTGACAGAAGGTTCATTTTAAGGAGTCAAATATGGCACCTGGGTTGACTTGAAAGATGGACCTTAGAAAAGAAAATGTTAACTAATTAACAACATGTGAAATGTCCATCTCATTTGGGAACTCTGGTTAAAAATATTAGAGCCAGTAACTGAAGTGCTGAACTTGGAAAAATATGGCACCGCTTGTTTCCGCCTTGGAAGATGTGAATATGCACTAGTTCCTGCTAACAACTAGGCAGTCCTGGGGCATGATATTCAAAAGAGAAACGTTTTAAAAACTCAACTTTGTCCGTGCTGATCGGCGAAATGTGAAAACTTCACTGATCAGCCATTATCCACATTATTAGTTGCTCTTTCCACAACATAAGTGGCTGAAATAATATGTTCATGGGGGCTAGCATGTATTGGGTTCGCTATATGTTTGCTTTGTATCTTTTTTAAAACTTTTATCACCATATACGTACAAATTATCAATCAAATCCAAAAACAGGAGCAAGAAAGCATGTTGAAGCTGAGTTCTGAGGCTTTATGTACGCTAAATAATTTGGGCCGGACAAAAACTTAAATACACCACCTAACAGTTCATAAAGAACCATATCAATAAACACTCCTTGGCTTGAGCATGTTAAGTTTTAGGATTCATGAAAGCAATTTTTAACAGACTTAACAATGTTACTACAGTTACTAAAGAACACCTCTTCTCTCTAAATATAATCTAATTTGGAAATCCTAACCCCCGCCTCCCCAAAAAAGAAAAAAGAACTAAATCAAATCATTTAATATCAGTATTTGTACTGATATTACCTCATACCAACTGCCAAGTGCAGAGTTGAAGATTTAGGCTTGTTTTGTAGCCATATGATATGAGTACCTTAGGTTTTTCAGGCCATGAGCTCCTCTGGACACTAAAATATTGTAGAATCACTCGTGAGGTCATCTGTTACTTTGTTTTTTACAAAGATCTGCAATACATGAAATACAAAGAGAAGAACTATAAAAGAAAACACTGAAGGAGTTGCCGAACCCATGTCCAGGTTTAATTTTAAAACTATTATATCGCGACACATAAAACCTTAGAACAGAGCAGCAGTGGACTTTCTTTGTGAAAGATTGCAGGTGTTTCCAAGCAGAGATGAAATTCTAAATTTGCCAGTCTACGTATGCGAGTCAGTTTTGAAAGTTTGAAATGGAGTTTGAATTTAACACGACCAGCTGAACCTCAAAACGACAGCGTTTTTCCACACAGGGCACCAGAGCTGTAGCAGAAACAGAAGCCCGGCTTGTTCCGGTCAGATTCAGGTAAATACTCAGACCAAACTTGATATCGTGGCTCATAATGAATTTTTTCCCTCAAAGATATAATCCCAGGTTATCGAGAGAGTTTACTTTTTCATTGAAAAAATATTGGCTCATTTTAAACAAAGTAAGCCAAAGTCAATTCGATACAGAAGTGCTGGAGTCTTCCCTGTGCCCAAATGTCTTTGGGCCTCCTTTAAAAACAGATTGAAGCTAACAGGATATTTTTCTTTAGGGATATAATCTAAATTTTAAATAATTTTTCAAACTCTATGAATAAAAAGTTAAGGGACCATCAGAATAATACGATGAAAGAATTTCCCTGTGGGAGTAATCCCTTCAGGAGGGATAAATTAAGTTGAGTCTAAGTCTAAGTCTAAGTCTAAGTCTAAGAAAGCCTATGGCATTGACAACATGGACATCTGGAAGAGAAAACCATCAAAAGTGTGAGGTATACAGAGCAATATGTCTTCAGACATTTTAACAAGACTTAACAAGATAGACTTATGGCACACTGCATCTATTAAAAGTACAAGTCTAATAAGTAATGGACAGGCTATCTAAACCATACCACAAAAGGTACATCAAACATGTATTTTTTAAAAGGCCAGCTGAGTAACTAAAAGCCCGTTACTAGCATGATGGATCAGTTTCTGAAATGATGTTGCAATGCCATGTTTTGAGGGTTTAGAAAAATGAGGGTTTAGAAAAATTGCATATCAATGCATGATTTTTCATTTCCATTTCACATTGCATTTAAGAAATTTTAGAATTGGGATTAAAACTGGGGAGTATAAAAAAATATATAAATACACAAACACATTTGTGTAAGTATATATATATGTATACATATATATATATATATGTTTATAGTTTCCGTCCATTCTTCACCTTCATTTACATTTAAAAACATTTGCATTAGTATATTCCTTCATTGATGGAAGTGGGAGGTAGAGGGTGGGCTTACTTTGATGTGTGTAATAAAAAAAAGGGGGAGAGAAGTAATGAAACTCATATGAGGAGACAAGTCCAGCAGCAATCGTGTTCAAAACCCTCAGCAATGACAAAATGAGTCTGCAGACGGCTGAACGTCATAAACAGTGAACGGTTGTGTTTGTGCTTCATTGTTCGGAACTCAATCAATCAATCAAAAATAAAAAAAAAGATGATTACTGAGAACAACCAGTTTTCTTGTTTACTATCTTAAGAGTAATGTGTCAACAGGTAGCAGCCATATTGATGTGTTTAGTTAACTTTTGGCCAGAGAAGAGGTCCTATATAAGACATGATGAAAGAACAAAAACATGTAAAATGTAAAACTAAACAACAAAACAAAACTTGTTAACACTGTTGCTCAGAATTGTAGTTTGTGATCTATGAGCTACTACCTAAAAGGATCAATAAACAAGTCCGACCCAGTTCTTTTACCTTTAGACAATTTGTCATTTATCACTTGGTTAAGTGTGAAAATCGTGTCAAATCGTGTGAATCACTGATGGAGCTATTCCGTCTGCCTTTTAACTGAACATCCCGTGTGCAACGAATGTAAACACCAGTATTGGAATTATGTTCATTCACACACATTGCCAGTGTTGTGCCACTGAATGGAGGGTTGACGTTTGCTTTCGGCTACGTGATTGTGTTGCTGTGTCAGACACTGGGAAGTGCAACAATACGAGTGAAGTTCTGTTAGAAAACAGGCAGATCTAGATGATATTTATCAATAATCACTACCATCATCTATGTTTTATCAATGCGAATCAAAGATAAGTAAAAATCAATTGCTTTCTGGATCGCTGCCAGAAAATATTTCATTCCGCGACATGATTGAGAAAACTATTTATAATGAATAGACGTAGAAAGACAGAAATCATATGAAATCTGCAGATCCCTATCAAAATCCCTATCAGTCCTCTAAATTCCAACCATGGGCAACATCGAGGTGTTTCACATAAAACAAGTCGCATCTTGAAACTGAAAAAGAGGTGGCCAGATTGTAAACAACAGTCTAGCTTTAAGAAAGGAAAATGTCACGGCAATATTATTACAATGATCGTTTTTCCACGTAAAAAGGTCTAAAACCTTTAAAACACACACAGCTCCCACAATTACTGTTTAGCCGTGTCTACGATTAGGTGAATGAGATTGTTTCTCTGGATCAGAACTGGAAGTTGTGCATTCTGGTTAACTGCATGTAGCTGGATACTTCCTTCCTTGTCTTAGGAAAAAATATAAAGATGTATTGTGACATGTTTGTGTTTGAAGTAATTTCGTATTTTAGCACAGCTCAGAACAGGTTGGGAAATAAGTCAGACAACACACAGTAAGAGAGGATCGGTTGGCCAGAGTGGCGTTGACCATTCGCTAACTTGCCATGGCGATGCCTTGACGGGCCAATAGCAGCTTTCAGAACGCTCACATGGTTACCTCTTGTGTGAAACTTGGAGTATGCATGTGGAGGTGGGCTTCTGTAAAAACAGATCGTGAAACATCTCTTACCGTATTACTATTTGTTTATCCTGCACTAAATGATCTGACCTGCTAATCCCAGGACGTTACTGGCAATTCTCTCCAAATAAAAAAACAAAAACGAAGGCTCAGCATGTGTTAGTGTGCATGACTGAATGCGGGTATACGTACTGAGTCACTGAAAGGCTTGGTGGAAGCGGGGCAGTGTGGTGGGGGAGCTCAGGTTGGATATGAAGGAGGGGGGGAGTCCTTGAAGCGGGTTCTCCGGAGCCTCGGGACCGGCGTTGACCTGAGGGGGCAGCTGGACGTGAGCTGTGGGCTCCTCGCTGGGTGGAAACGGGACACCGTGACCCCCGCCGCCTCCCAACTGACTGTAGGGAGGCCCGTTGAGCGGCAGGAAGTTGAAAAGCTGAGAGAAGTCCATGAGAGAGGAAGATAGGGCGAGGGAATCGCCGGCTGCCACCGACGGGGACATTTTGGAGACGGACGCGTCCTCGCTGGCTTCCTCCAGCATGCCCCCCGGGTGAGGGACCAGCTCGAGTTTAGACGAGGAGAGCTGAGGCTCTTGGGCCGCCGAGGACGAAGACGGCATGCTGTTCTGCAGCTCCATCAGATAAGTCTCCAGTTCTCCCTTTGGATGCTGTTCCCTCTCGGTTGAGGACATGGCGTGCGAGGTAAAGTTGGGGACGAGCGGGTGCTTCAGGGAGAAGGGGAGAGCCGGGCTGGAGAAGGACTGCGTGTCCAGGAGGGGCCCCGGATACACGCTGAGCTGGTGCGGCCGGGGGTGGGTCAGCATTCCCGGGAGCGGGCCCTTGAGGCTCCCGGACGCCGGGTCGTAGACGGCGGGCTCCAGCGAGTCGGCCGGCTCCGTCTTGACCCTCAGGAGCTCGCGGGCGTGGCTCTTCTTCACGTGGCGCGTCAGGTGGTCCTTCCGGCCGAAGCGCTGGGCACAGTACTGGCAGAGGAAGTCCTTGCGGCCGGTGTGCACCACCATGTGGCGCCGCACGTCTTTCCGGGTGTAGAAGCGGCGCTCGCAGTGCTCGCAGCGGTGCTTCTTCTCTTTGGTCCCGCCGGAGGACTTGCCCGCGTGGGTTTTGAGGTGCTCCAGCAGGACCCCCGTGCTGGGGAACATCTGCAGGCACACCTGGCAGGTGAGGTCTCCGTTGTTGGCGGCGTGGAGCGCCAGGTGGCGCTTGAAGCCCAGCTTGGTGTTGTAGCTCTTGCCGCACTCCTGGCAGGTGAAGGCCTCCTTGTGTGGGTCGTGAGTGTGTAGGTGATTCTTTAAGTGATCCTTGCGGTGGAACATTTTCTCACAGTATGGACACTTGTGGTTTTTTTCTGGCGAGTGAGTTGCCATATGCCTTAGGACACAGACACATTCTGTGAGCACTCAGAAACGATTGCAATCACAAAGAAAATAGGCATGCTTTACACATCATCACAAGATTTGAAAAAACTACTACTCATCAATGCATTAGTTTGACTACTACATAGCACTATGATCCAAATAGTGTAAGTAAAAAGCAACATGCTGCAGCCTGCTATATAGTGCTGCTTGTCTGTACCGTAGCAGCTTGTATTTGGAGACGAAAGCCTTGGAGCAGTCAGGGTGGGAGCAGCGGTAGGGTCTTTCTCCTGTGTGAGAGTAGGAGTGCACCTTTAACTTCTCCAGACTATTAAACGCTTTTTGACACTCCTGGCAAGGGAAATTCTTCTTGGGTTTCCCTTCCGCTCTCCTGCGCCTACACAAGGGGGGTGCAAGCTTCGCTTTCTCCAGGATGTGGTCACGATGGCCCTGAGTTCCCGTGGCCATGGCACCCTAAAGAAGACCAGCTACATGGACAGGGGCAGAGCGATTGACTAGTACTGACGCAACTAATCTATCCAGTTTTCTGTGCTCAGCACTGCCTGTATTTGAGGGCCTGCAAGCAAGAGAGAAAAAGAGAGAGAGATTATGTCAATTGGTTCACTTTAAGGTTTCCATTAAGGCAGAGGCAGTTGAAAATTAACACGATAAAAGGTATTCACAAAAACTCCAAGATCGCAAGAGAATTTCCACTTAACATAATTTCCAATTAGATACCCCTCTTTGTCAAATCTTCTTTTAAATGAGTTCTAATGACTCGTGCTGTTTAATCAGACTCACTTTCAAATTTCAGTACATCACTTTACTGTGATATTCGATCAGGTAACTAAGAAAGAATAAACACAAAAGAAATAACTGTAAATAAACACAAAAACGGCACATGACTTAAGACTCTGTCCATTTTATCGTATAAGATCTTTGATTTGTGCTGTCTTTGAATAATAGTAAGAAATAAAAAATAAAAAAGATATCTTAGTTGCACCATAAGAGAGAGCCCTATGATAATGCTAGTTCTGCCTCCTGTCCCATGGCTGTGGCTGCTTGGATAACTGGAAGATATCATCAAGTTTTCTATGTAAAATGCAAGCAAAACTAAGCAAAACCAAAAGCTGAGGAGCATTTAAAGACAAAAAGGTTTAAAGGGTCCAAAAACGAACATAAAAATAAGAACAGAGACCAAGTTTAATTTCCATGGAAGGTCTGCCCCCCAAACTAGTGGTCGCTGTTCAAAAACTATGAGTCATGTCTGAAAAACTCTTGAACCTTGTGCTCCAAGAGGAATTCCAGAACACCTCAGTACCTTTCATTTTCATAGATATAATTTTGGGTATGAAAGTTGAAGGATGTGAAAGTGGGCAGAAGGAGAACCCCATTTTAACCTCTTAAATCTATGGTCATGAGCTGTGGTTTTGAACTTAGTTTTTAGGTCTTTAAATTTTCCTTGTGGTTTTGTTTTGTCTATATTACCTGTAATGTCATCATTTGAGTTATATTTGTTGCTTTAGTCTTCTTGGTTCTGGTTTCTAGTACTAGTTTGTTACTTGGTTTCTGGTTCTCTTTTTAGTCTTGTGTGCATTTCCTGTTCCTATTTTTGGTGTCATGTCCCTCCGATTTTCCGGGTTTCCGTCATCAGCTCGATCCCCTGAATCTGTGTTTCTCTTTCACTTTCCATTCCACTCATAATTCTCCCTATATAAGCCTCTATTTTTCAACCATTCTTAGTCTGATCCTTGCTGTATGTCAAGTCTGTTTCTGGTCTCCTTGCGTGTTCACCGTCCTTCCCTGTGTTTCTCTTCTGGTTCCCTTTAACATGCTCCTCATCGTCCGGTTTCCTTGCTTCTTTTGTATTTTTGTACGCAGCTTTTGGTGCTCCTTCTGTTAATTTTATAATAAGACTTCAATTCCTGAGTTCGTGGAATTCCTGTTTTCTCTATTCGGGCCTTGCGATTGGATTCTACGACCATGCGCAACCTTATTCTTTCGGTCATCGCCCAGATTTGTGACAACACATAAGGACTGGAACAAACAGAATTGAAAGGTTGTTCCCACTTCACCATGACACACCATTGCAGTTACCATTGCTAATGTAGCCCCAAATCATCTGTCCATCTTTTCCTCCAACTTGCTATCTCTTGTAAGCCAGATCCTCTAATAGTCCTCCACCACAGGGAGGGACGCATCCCTGACCCTGAAATTCCCAACCAAGCTCCCTCTGCTATACCATGAGGTCCATGAGTCAACAACAGGACTGGTGGCATGTGGCAACCCTGACCAAATCCATCATCCACTGTGAACGGATTCAACCTGATGCAACCAATGCTCACCTAGGAAGGAACCCGAATGGCTTTAAAAAACAATTCCGTAACCCTTAATACTCCCTACAGAAACCATTGGGGTACATGGTCATGACTTTCTCCAAGTGGATGGTCAAATTCCCAAGACCCCCTCAGCAAATCTGCAAGAGTAACTATATGTTTATTGGTAAACAACCAGGGGAAAATCGATACGGCTTTTCCTGAATATGACTTTTGACATTGGGTCAGAGCCTCCACTCCAATATTCTTGAGCAAACTTTCCCCTGGAAGGGTGAATCTTGTGATCCCCCTTTAGTTCATGCATATCTTCCAACCGTTTTTTTTTTTAAAGTGGGAACTACCACTCTAGTCTTGCAACTCTTCAGGGTTTGTCCTAGACTTTCTGTCTAATCTATTCTCCTATATTTCCTAGCTCCCCTCGCTGCTAGTACCAACCGGCAGGTCCTCAGGTTAGCAACATGAACGAGACTGATACTCTTAAAGCCGCTGATCCCTGGAAGTTGCATTAACGTGGAGTTCCAGTAAAAAAGCCACTTACTATGGACAGGGAATCCTTACCATATAGTCCCACTTCAGCATTGGAATCCATTTTGGTTTTCTAGGTCTGCTACCTTCCTTAAATCCACTTCCTACCAGGTAGTGACCAGCTAACAGCTCATCCTATCTTTTCACTGGATTGCCTATGACTCACATCATCAAGTCTTATGATTATACTACAAAGTTGGGCGACCTTCAATCAAAGGTGGCCTGGTACCCGGTACCCTTATGAACTAGCTTATGGTTGAACATGGTGTCTGTAGGGGACAATGCATGACTTCCCAATCACAACTCCAAGGTCCATCTATCACCCTACCCGCTAACTTTTACTGCAGATGCAACCAGGCTCTGTATCATCCTACAGGGGTCTCCAAACAACAAAGACATCTAAAGACGCCTGCCGTGTAGCAGGACTTGGGGATGCAAGTCGGAATTTGGCCAATCAACAAGGAGGAGCTTTTCCCCCCGGACTGTCCGCCTGCTAAACCTGGCACAGTGGACTCAAAGCCAATACAACTGTCCACTTTCGCCTGTACATTTCTATATATGATTTACTTTATTTAGTTTTGATTGAACTTTGATTGATTTAATTCAGATAAAAGTCTTGAATATTTCTGTAACACGACCAATTCTTGCTGACAGTTTCATTATTCAGTCATGCATTTAATAGAAATAATCCAAAACCACTGTGAATTGTCGCTTTAGTAATTATCTTTCAACACCAAAACAAATATAAACAAATGGTACCAACAAGGTTCCTGGGACTACTTATGAACAAAAGAACCTCTCTGACCATCTGGGGTTCTGCTATAATAATAGTCCGAACACGTTTTTAAACAAACAGGGCAGAAAGTTGAGAAATCACTTTTGCTATAACTTCTTTTAAACTGATAAAAAGTATAATTCAAAGACATCTAAAATTATTACTACAAGTATTTTGAACTTTTAATTTGGGATTCCAATCATACGGGAAGGTAAAGTATTTTTAGCTTAAAAAACTTTAAATTAGAAGTGATTAGATATTGCATAATCCTTATTGCCTCATTGTGATTATGGAAAATGTCTGAATTACAACTATCGAATCAGATACAACTCGAAGTCCACAAGTCAAAGACACAAATCAACCTCTGAGGATTTCGTTTTTTGGAGTGAAAGCTCAAGATCTGATTGTATTAATAGTTATGGTCCTGTTTAAAACAAACAAACAAACAAACAATACAAAAAACTGTCACAATAAACTACATAGAAACTAGCCAACTATTAGGGTCTACGACATCTTAAATTTCTAAACAACACAGTACTCATCTGTAATAATAATTATCATTAAAGATTGTTGTTATTGTATAAAGTAAGCTTTTCAACAAGCAAGCTCAATGATTTCTTACCATATAATTATTTATTTATGAATGTTATAAAATAATAATTTATATGCAATATACATTAATACCATATCAGTATAACATCAAATGAGAAATAAATCAACCAGATACTGTCTGCATCATTATTTACAGCTTAACTTTAAGAATAAAGACACCTCATGTATCAGATTATATGGGAAGAAATTTCCCAAATCTTTAATTTAAAAAAGTGTCATATCAGATTATTTATGAAGTGAAATGTCTTCTACATGCTCAACCAACCCATCTACTTTAGTGCCAGTTTAGAAGTTGCTTATGTGCAGTTAGAAAGTTATGCGAGACATAAAAAACACAAAACACCAATCATGAATTCAGTTAAAGATTCTGGAACAAAAAATAAATACATATAGTTGCATTTATACCAGAATTACCCAGTCAAAAGCAGCTCTGATTATTAACATACAAACTGATTTGGAAATCAATACTACTGCTTTTGAGATATCTTAGATTTTTCTATTTTGAAAACCATTTATAAGTACAAGTTTGTTACTTTAACAATTATTATATAGTTACAATATTCAAATTTCAGCGGGAAAAGAAGATGAAATCATAACAATTCCAATGTAGTTCTATACTGAATGTGAATAAAGTGTAAGTTATGACTTAAAAGATTTAAAATGAGCACATCATTCAGCCATCATGATCCATGATGTAACACAGTTAAAAATCTGGTGTCAAACCAATGGCAAAAATCTTATTCCTCTTTGTTATGCGGTAGATTAAAAGTAATTTCTTTGGATTACTTCCACAGAGCACTAAAACAGCCTGACAAAGACAGACATGTAATGAGGAGGAGGGGGGGGGGGGGGGCTGCATCATGCCACAGCCCCAACAAATCCCATTGACTCCTGTCGAGATGAGACGTTTAGCTCTGGTTTAAGGTTTAGGACAGGTGTAAACATAGACCTGAGCCAACAGTGACAACATCCTTCCTTTTAATAACCGTTTCGGTATCACGTTTCTTGACCACAGACACGGAGATCCCGGCTGCTGGTCTGACCCGGGCGGACATATCTGGGCCGATGTCCAAACTAACAGCGCTCGTTCCGCCACCGACCTGTGCTTTTACGCACAGAACATGGAGCGGGAGCTCTCCCGCAGCCTGCAGCCACCCTGCAGGCTGCAGACCTCCCCGGTCCCCCCCAATACCGTGCACGGTGCACGGTGCAACCTGCGACCCCAGGCACCCAGATCGTGACAAGAAACTACCTGCGACAAGCAGGCTTCAACAGAAAGCTCTGTTTTTTTTTGTTGGCATACCTAATTAGTATGTCTTAAGTTCTCCCTCCATTTTGCAACTTTATTGACCAGCAATTTCTTCTTTCTTTAAGCAGCTTCGATGTGCGCCAAAGCCCAACTATCATCCTTTTTCCTGTCGATTTACAATCTAAAAACGTCCCAAAGTGCGATAACACACACGGTCCACGGGCTAAAAACGGAGCGGAGGGGAAAAAAAAAAAAAAGTGACCAAATATTCGCTGTGCATGCTACACGGCAGCTTTTGGTGTTGCCAGTTTCAAAAAGAGATGCTTGAATCAGTGTGCGGTCAACTTTGCTAACGATGTGAGTCTGAAAAGTTCAGAGAAAAGTAAGCGAGGCGATCCAGCAAATTTGTGTCAACTCCAGAATATGAGTGCGCATGTTTTTGGCCGTGATCATCGCACGGTCGTTGTCATTGAATAAAAAAAAATAAAAATAAACTCAGTAAGGAGGCTGTTTTCATGTTAACTCAACTTTCTGTCACTCTCCTGATTCATGTGACCCTTAATGTTCGTGGACACGCACCGTGAGACTAATATCACCAGTGACATAATTTATTTATTTATTTTTTTAATTACTAATGCCCTCCCTTAGCTTTCTCAGTGGTCCGAAACTGGGTACTGATTAACACAAACTTTTTTTTTTTTTTCTCCAGCTCACCCTTCTCTCATAATTTAAATAACCCCGATATTTTAAATCAAGAACTGAGTAACCGGCACTTTAATTTACATCAAACTTACCCCGGACGCTTCAACATCCTTTCTGTTGAATTTTTCTGGACTTTCAACTATTTTCCGAATTTTTAATAATTTTTTTCTCATATTTTTTGCGAGACGCGGCGGGCCTGAAAATTGTTTGCTTTCTCCTCTTTCGAGCAGCCATTGTGTATGCGCTGCGATGCAACCGCACTTGGCCTTGACCACGCCCACACGAAAATGTTCCACACACTTGTGCTTTTTGATTTGCGCGTGGTGCTGTCACTCCCGCTTCAGTATCACTTACAGGCTCTTTCATTAAAACCTAATTTTTGGACTTGCTAGATGTACTGTCAATCGTTAAAACTTTGCCCGGGCTATTTTTCAAGGATAGGCGGATGACCGTGTCCAACAAGAAATCCAATTGGCTTAGAAAGTTGTCAGTCGACGTCATAGATTTTCCGCGGTTCCCATTGGCCGACGCTACTGTCAACCGTCGGTGACGTCACGGACGGTTTTCCTGGTGCGCTGTTGTAACAAACACTTCTTGAGCATGACGGGGAGGCTATAGCTAATGGCTCGTGTAGCATTGACTATTAGCTTAAAAACTAGACTACATATAATTTTGCTTTCTTTTCTTTAGAGTTTCGCAGTGTTTCTGAAGGGTTAAAATGTGATAGTAATTCTCGTGTAGGCGTTTTATTCTACACTGCAGTCTTGCCAGTCATTTGGGGCTTTTGACTGAATAACCTTCACTACATAAGTTTTAGCCTAACGCTGGAAAAAAGCTGACCCTATTTAAAGGTAGGTTTGTATATCTGTTGCTGTATTAATCTGTAACTGTACGATTTTCACTATGTGATATAAAGTCCCCCTTCCAGTCCTCCTTTTAGGTAAATGAATGTAGCAGAGCTAGAAGTCTTACTCTCCTCAACACTATTATAAAAGGTTTGATAACAACCCTCAGTTGTAGAATTCATAACAGTCTGGTTTGGAAGTTTAAAAAGCACTATATATATATTTTAACTGTGCACATTTCTTTTTAGCTTTCAACACTTATACTGCAGACACCAAATAATTATGGTTTCTGTATTTTGCTTTTCTATTAAGATGCAATTTCTTACAAATATTGAAAGTTCCTTGTTCACATATTGTATCTGAAAATCACAATTATGAGTCTCTGACTGGATTTTCTTATGATTTTACTCTACTAGTATAACTATGTTATAGTAACGGTAGAGATCACGTGATTGAAATTGACCTTCCTTTTTACTCTTGTAGCCACGCTTGATAAATGATGATTGCACACATGCACCAGGCACATGTTTTGGGGTTTTAATGGCAGTTTTGAATGATTTTCAGCAAAGATCACTGACCAGACTCCAACATCGGATGTTGTGTATCAAACCCAGTGTACCTGGGCTGCTTACAGTCGCAGGACCAACTATTCTTTTGGATTCTTTGTGGGAAAACCTCAGTTCAGCGTCTACAAAGTCTGACTACAAATAGTTTGTTAAATCAACATATTAAAGACTGAACGTTACATTTTTTGCAAAATCATAAAAATATACGTGTGTGTGTATATGGGTAGATCAGTGACATAAAATGGGGTTGCATGTATTTATATAATAATTGTTTTATTTAAAGTGTTTAAAACATTTTATTGGCAATTTACAGTGAGATGTATTCTTTTTTTTAAATGACGTGAGGCTCTGCCTCTTATGTTCACACATCACTGGATATTTATATATGTATATATATGACACGTGTATGTATTTGCTTGCGTGTGTATATATGTGTGTATATATAACATTTGGAAGAATGTCTGAATGTCCAAAAATGTAACTTTTTGGCTCCATTTTTCACATTTGGAGTTAAAAGAAAACGCTGCATTCCAACAGAAGGACCTCATCCCAACTGTCAAACATGGCGGCGGTAATATAATGGTGTGGGTCTGTTTAGCAGCATATTGACCAGGATGGCTTGCCGTCATTGATGAAGCAAAGCATTCTGAGTCGTGTCAGACATGGGAAACGTCAGGAGATCTGACTTTAATCCAATAGAAATGCTTGGAAGGACCTGAAGGGAGCAGTTAATGCGAGTGTAATATGTTTGTCTAATTAGTTTAATGGGGTTCTCTTCACTTTTAGGACTTAAATTATGTGTTGGGTTGTATTTACACAGAAATATAGAAAATCTGGACTTAAAAGTTGCTACTATATACCTTTGAGTCCATCTTTTATGCCGCAAATAACTAAATTATCCGCAAGTAATGTTCTAACGTCTGCAAAATGAACATGTCTGTTTGTTTTGTTTCTACTCCCAGTTCCAGATGGACAAAAACACGCGTAAAGTCCGGAACCAGGACATCAACCCGTGCATCGAGGTCAGTCTGCGGCCGTCTCTGCCCCGCGCTGTCGGACACACACCGCCTCTAACCGGCTTCTCTTTCAGGAAAGCGACAACTCCCAGAAGTGTATGGATGCCTACAACTATGACAAGAGCATGTGTTCCGCCTATTTCCAGAGATACAAGAACTGTAGGAAATATTGGGTGAGTATTTGTAAAGAAAGAGCTACCAGCTCACTGGTAAGGTCAGTCCTGGTCATAACTGGGATGACACCCACTGGTGGTCTAAGGCATCTGCACAGTGAGGCCAGGAAGTGGCTGACTAGCTGTATTTAGAGTGTAGAAATAGCTAATAACTAGTTAGCATCAATGCTCACCTGAACACGAGTAGCCAGCTGTGTTAGATTGTCTGTCTCACATCAGTTTCAGTCTCTTTTCAAAGTAAATAGTTCTGACATCCTGCAAGAAGTAAGTTTTTCTTACAGGATTTACACAGTTTTTTGTTTTGTTTTATTGCTAATTCATTTAACTCATTGGCTGCCAAATACGTCTATAGACGTCTTTGATGTTTTTCAACGCGAGTGGCTTGGGGGACGATCTGCTAAAGCTTGTTCGTAAATATTCGGCTTCTAAACAGAGTTTGTAGTAACAAATTGACCCTCTAGGGGGCAGTGCCACTTTTGATGGGAGATGAGCATAGATTGTAGGCAAATAAGAAAAAGGTAACCGTTCGCTATGAGAGAACATGTCGCCGGTGAGACGCAAATCGAGGAAGAACAGAATAAGGTAGAAACAATTTTTTTTTCCTGATGAAAGAAGAGAGTCTACTCTTTCTTTTGGTGTGTTCGGTGTTTACATAGTCATAGCACAAACTATTCCGTGGCTCTGGAAAAATCAGTCAAAATGCACAAAAAACTCTGGCAGTATGGGACTCTGTTCTGAAAATGGCTGGCAGTCAATGAGTTAATTAATGAATTTTTTTCCTTTTTGGATGAACCAATTAATGAATTAATTGAACTTAACCCCACAGGCCACTGAAACACAACCACACATTTGTGTTTCTGTGTGTTTAGTCTCCAAGTTCAGGTCGAAATAACAATATGAAGACATTGAATTAAGGCGTGTTTCCGGTAGAGGTGCTGGTGGAGTGCAGCCCCCCCCCCCCCCCCCCGTCCGATAAAGGCCCGCCGCGTGTGACCGCTGGCTTTGCTGTGCTGTGTTTTTAGCACAACATCATGGTGCAGAGGCGGAGGGACGGCGTGAGGCCGGACATGCCCACCGCCGCCGAGAGGCTGGAGATGATCAACGCCATCGGAGGAAAACCGTACTGAAAGGGACCCGGGGAAGACCAGGAAACCGGAGAAGGAGCCCCGGCAGTAGGACTTCACTGGAACAGCTCTTCCCCACAGAAGACCCGTTCTGGATCTGACCGCTTTCCTGTGGAAAAGCAGCTGTTAGCAACACAGTATTTATAGAGAGATATTTAATTGCTGTAAAGGTTTTCTTATTTTTGCCATGAGGTCTGCCTGTGTTGATTTTGAACTTTATTCACTCAGAATGTGAACGGTGCTCATATCTCATGTGATATCATGGTGTCAGAGACCCACTGCTCGTCTGCAGGAGGCCGTGGGTCCTCCGGAAAAGGGACTGTCTGAAATTCAAAGAGATCTGGACACTCACTCTGCTTGTTACACAAACTGTTCATGTGTCACCGGCATGTCCTTAATAAAGTCCAATTAAATATTTTATCTACATTGTGTACCAAAATCTTTATTTTTATCCTCGAGGTTTGTGCATATGCATTTAGCAGACGCTTTTATCCAGAGCCACTTACAAAGTAGAGCTGGATTTATTTATTTTTCTATATAATTTTCATACATAATATGCTCTATTATTTCTTACCAATAGTTTTTTTCTTTTATATATAAAAAAAGAAGCTGAGGGGGTGTTTTTAGGTGCTGGTAATGGAGTGCTAACGTGTAGGCAACTTCTGATAAATCCAAGTCAATGTGACTTATGAAACTGAGTCACTATACAAATTCATAATCCACATTCAAAGTCAGTTTTTTTCTCATCCCACGTGGATTCAGGTTCTGTTCACCGGAAGGTGCTTCTCCTGAGCATTCCCATTTTAGGATTTCATTTTTAGAGGCTTTCTTAATGATATTCATCCATTTGTGATGTGAATAAGGCTGCATCTTAACTCTAACGTGCTCATGCGGTACAAAAAGATCTAAACTTTAACGTCAGTCAACAGTCAGAGCCTCATCCTACCGGACTGTAATCGTTAGGAACAAAATAAAGTTTTAGTCGAACCGGGATTCCGGAGAACGGAGCGCCTACAGATCTGTGAGGTCGGTCATCATTTCCATCTCCATCCGTAAAATATCCTAACCTATCCATGTTTGGTAGCTTAATCCCGAATGATAACTCTTTTTATCTGATCCAGTCACGATCAGGCTGCAGCTACATCGCTCACATGGACATAAACGTTAACTAAACGCACTAAATGAACTTAACTAACATTAACAAGAGCTTTTCTTTGAGCATGTGAAGTTTTAAAATGGATTTAAGAGGTAGTGTTTGTTGTGGAGACTTTAACGCAACGTACAATCAAATGAACTCTAAGGAGAGATAGTTCATCCATGCAAAATTGACTTTTTTGGCCCCAAAGTCTATTTTGATCTCCATAGCAGAGCTGTGCATGCTTTGTAAAACTTTCATGTAAAGATTTGAGCTTCTGCACAAATTTTAGATTAAGTACTGTGATTTTATTTGAAATAAAAGGTTTATCCATGTAGCATCAGTCCATGTAGAAACTCACTGGCTG